ATAACAGTGTTTCTTATCATAAAAACTACCAGTATTTTTTTTTAAAAAAGGAATAAAACTAAGAAAAGTAAAAAAAAAGGCACGTGAGAACTTTGTTGTTTTTTTAGGCAGTGTGAACTTGCATGTTGCTCTTGTTATATATCTATTAGAGTTTACTTGAAAGAAATAATTTAAAAAATGCGAAGGGACAAGTCCAAGTTTGTATTTAAGCATAAATAGTACATTTTGATAGATGTTGATTTGGTAAACATTTAGTGCCCTTAAGGTTTTTAGTAAGGGTTCAACATGAAGTAATTTTTGTTATAAACTAGTCTTGATGCATGTTTTTGACTTATATAAATAGTACTCAGTTTGGATTTGTGTGTACTCGCTGATGTAATATTAGCGTACGTAAGATAACTTTGGATGTAAGAAAAATAAATCAATTTAAGATTATGTTGGGACAACATAGGTTTAACTTTGTAGAGTATCCCAATATATTTTGAAATTTTGGTGTTTTTTGTACTTATATGGGCTCTCCAAGATATATTTTTGTCAATAAGTATCCCAAGAAATTTAGTTGTTTCTGTTCTTTCAATGTTTACCTTATCTATTTTAAGTGAGGGAAGGATAGTTGATATATTTTTTGTTTTTGTTTTTTGGAATGATATATTAATTTTTTGTTTTTCGGAATGAAACAATATGTATTTTGTTTTTTGTGTATTTATTCCATTTTTTGCTATTTATTCCATTTAAACCATATATTTAATTTTTTAAGCTCTTTGTTCATACATTCATAAAGGTCTTTGATTGAGTTCGAGGAATAAAATAAGCTTGTGTCATCAGCAAACATAATAACATCAAGTGATAATCATAGAGCTTTAAGAATATTTCTATTAATTCATTATAAGCGGAGTTAGTATGCCAAGGTTGCATTCTTGGCAAATCCTGTCCCACCTCACTGCTGATAGATTCTTGGCAAATCCTGTCCCACCTCGCTGCTGATAATGCTTTAAACTGTTGAGTAGTAAAATAAATGATTTTTCGGTTAAAGACTTTGATTTTAGAGTTAATATTTTTTGTATCTTGAAAAAAGGAAAAGTATATCGGAAAGTGATCGGATATATCCGTTTTGATTACTGCTTTTAATGAAAAATCATAAAATGAATTATTCAATATGTTGTCAATTGCAGTGATCGAATTTAATATTACCCGGGTTGGTTTGCTTATTATAGGAAAGATGTAGTGTCAAAACATATTGTCAAAAAAATTTTAGTAACAGCATCTTCATTGTACTGTAGACAATTTATATTTATGTCACCAATACAGAATAATATTTTGTGTTCTTTGTTTTTTTCTAGAAATAGTTTTAGGTGGTTTGAAAAGTTTTTTATATTTTTTTTATTTTTTTTTTATTTGTTTGTTTACATTTAACGTAATATTTATAAATTACATATTTTCCAAATACAAACAAGGCTTCTAAAAGAAGATCACAATGATTTTATCGTCAGAGGCCTTTTACAAAAGAGAGTATATAACATATCATAAAAACGCCTTTTTACAATAAAAGTACGTTAAAAATCATAAAAAAACAATAAATCGTATTTACATAAATGAAAATAAATTATAAACTAGTATAAAACAAAACATGACAATAAAGTTTATTATTATTTTGTTTTTTATCACAAGATAAATTAAAAATATTCTAAGATATTTTCAATAGAAAGAATGTGGTCTTTTAATTTATTTTAAAAAACAGAGTAAGTTAGGGGTAAGTTGAAGTTAGGCAAAATAATTTTTTTCCAGAGATGAGCTACACGATAAGTGATACAAAATTGATTAAATTTTGTTCGACAGAATGGTTCATTTAAATAATAATTATTCCTCATGTTAAACTTGTTTAATGGTTTCAAAATAAAAAGACCTTTCAAATTAAAGGAGATAAATCATGCTTCCACATATAGACAAAAAATAAATTTTATTTACATTTAGTTTATTTATATCTAGGATTTTCATTTGATTAACAAATATTGAGGAATGTGCGAACCGATCCGCAGAATTAATTAAACGGATCGCATGTTTTTAACGGCGAAAGAAACATTGTAACTTGCTTTGATCAGTGCTACCCCAGGCAATAACTCCATAACTTATATAACTGTGAATAAAAGAGTAATAAAGTTTAGTTAAATTATTTTTATCTAAATGAGTACGCGTCTTATATAAAATTCCGATACTTTTTGTAACTTTTGAGCAAAATAGTAAATATGATGTTTCTATGTGATGTTCTCGTCAATAAAAACCCCCAGGTATTTAGTTACAGAATCTCTTTTAATTTCAATATGGTCAATAAGAACTTTTGGTAGATTTGGAGGTAGAAAACGTTTTTTGGAGAGCGGGTGGAAAAGAATCCATTTTGTTTTGGTTTTATTTAATGGTTATTTGTTACTTTTAAACCATTTAGATATGTTTTGAAGTTTTTTGTTCATCATGGAGTATCACTTTAAAAGTATATCACTTTCATGTGGTCTGTAACAGGTGGGCACTAGTATATTTTTTAATTTTTTGTTTGTTATTTCAATTTTATAGATCTCGCATTGGCATCAGAAACCGAAAGTTCGTCTCTAATTTTAGTTGTAAGATCATTATGAATATATGTCATAATTTCAACTCGTTTTTTAACTTTTCGCTCATAAGATAATAGTTTGTAGTTTGGAACAGACTTGAATTTATTCTGGATGATTCGTCAGAACACCACCACCAGTCACCAAGTTTCTGTTAAACCCAAGATTTAATTTAACTATATTTTTTTTTTGTTATTTTTATTCTTACTGATATGGTGATTATATTCTGTTATAATTTATTAAAAATATAAAAACTAAATAAAAAAAATTATCACACCGGAGCACATTGGTCAAAACAGCAGTTTTTCATTATCGACGTCTTTATTGATTGTCAAGTAATTGAAACGATTTAAAAGAAAAAAAAAGTGTTTATTTATAAAACAAATAACGAACATTGAGATGATTTAGAAAAAGGTGATTTAAAAGTATTTATTAAAGTGATTTAAAATTAGGTGATTTAAAAGGAGAAAAAAAAATTATTTTTTCAAAAACTGAAGATTTGGATGTTTAACAACTAAAAATAACTGAGAATTTGAACAAATTTATAACCGGATATAAAAACTAGATATACACACAATACTCGAAAAAAGTAATAGAAAGTTAATTAAATGGATCATCTTACCGCAATAAACAACTACCGATATAACAATTTTTATTTACCGATCCTCGTACCGAAATAAAAAAATACCGATAAGACATTTTTTATTTACCGATAAGACAATTTAAGGGGATGACTGAATAAGCGCGATTTTCATAAGTGTGAACTAGCATAAGTGCGAATGGCGTAAGCGCGAACTGGCATAAGCGCAAATTGGCATATGTGCGAACTTGCATAAGTGCGAAGCAGTTGCAAAAATTGGCACAAATGCGAACTGGCATAAATGCAAATTGGCATAAGTGCGCCGAACAAAATTTCAAACATTGGTATAAATGCGAATTGGCATATATGCGAACCAGTTACAAAAACTGGCACAAATGCGAATTGGCATAAGTGCGCTGAACAAATTTGCAAACATTGGCATAAGTTCGAACTGACATAAGTGCGAAGCAGTTACAAAAAGTGGCACAAGTGCGAACTGGCATAATTGCGAATTGGCAAAAGTGCGCCAAATAAATTTGCAAACATTGGCTTAAGTGCGAAATACTAATTTGCAATTATGCCAATATTGGAAATTTTATTCGGCGCACTTATGCCAATTTGCAGTTATGCCAGTTTTTGTAACTGCTTCGTACTTATGTTATATCCCACTTATGCCAATGTTTGTAATTTTGTTTAGCGCACTTATGCCAATGTTTGTAATTTTGTTCAGCGCACTTATGCCAATGTTTGCAAAATGTTATGGCGCACTTATGCCAATTCGCACATATGTTAGTTTTTGCAAAGCTTCGCACTTATGTCAGTTCGCACATATGCCAAAACGCATATATGCAGCATCCCGAATTTAAGCAAACAAACATTTTATAAACGCAGCTAATTTCAGATGTGGTAAAGATTTTATAAACACAACAAATTTTAGAGATCAAATCAATTATCACCACACACAAGTTATAAAGATAAAAATGTAAACTATATTATTGAATTTTATTAAATAATAACTAAAAAAAAAAAAAAAATTATTTGGCATGTATGAATTTTACAAACAAACGAATTTAATTTTTTAACTAAACATTTTTAACTTGTCAAAACTGCAGACATTTCAACACCAAGTCATTTTCCATCATCACCAAAATATGTTGATGATATATCCTCATCCGAGTTACTAATTTTCCATCGAATTCACCGAATTATTTTTTTTATTATATTTTACTTTTATATATTATATTACAGCAAAAACTTATTAAAATGATCACCAAAAACCAATAAAACAAAAAATTCTAATAAAACTTTTATTTGAAGCAATAAAATATTTTATTGTTAAAATTATTTAAAAACTTAATAAAAAAAAAACATCGTAATAAAAATTTTGTATCAGATCATTTGATGTTTATAATTTATATATTATATTACAACAAAAACTTATTAAAATGATCACCAAAAACCAATAAAACAAAAAATTCTAATAAAACTTTTATTTGAAGCAATAAAATATTTTATTGTTAAAATTATTTAAAAACTTAATAAAAAAAAACATCGTAATAAAAATTTTGTATCAGATCATTTGATGTTTATAATTTATATATTATATTACAACAAAAACTTATTAAAATGATCACCAAAAACCAATAAAACAAAAAATTCTAATAAAACTTTTATTTGAAGCAATAAAATATTTTATTGTTAAAATTATTTAAAAACTTAATAAAAAAAAAACATCGTAATAAAAATTTTGTATCAGATCATTAAATGTTTATAATTTAGTAAATTTTTCAAGTATTCAAAAGGAGAAAAATTACAATATATTTTCAATTAGTAACAATATCTAAACTTTTTATTTCTTTTACTTAGAAGGTATTCCGCGTAAATGTTCGCGTAAGACACGAATTGTACTTAAGTAGTCATCCATGTTGATATAGCAACCACTTAAACTACGTTTTCCAGTAAATGAGGTGCGTCCATGAAGAACTCTAAAATAATTCACGACCTCTTAAAATTATGGAAAAAATAGAAAAATACTAAAATAAGATAGAGGATAGATGGTTGATAGAGGATAGAAGATTGAACAAGAAATATAGATTAATGTTTATTAATATATATACATCATTAGGAATATTATGATATAATTGTTAAAAAAATTAAAATATGCAAATAAATTTTATTTATAAAAACCAACCTCCAGTTGTTGACAATTAATAAATTTCCGGGAGTTAGTTTAAGTCGAAACTCTTGTTCCTTGCTATATATGATATCCAAAAAAGCAATGTAATGATTATAAAATTTCTCAATTTCATCAAATGATAAGCAATTCAAAACATCACGATCTCCATCATTTATTCTAAAAACACAAAACATCACGATCTCCATCATTTATTCTAAAAACACAAAACATCACGATCTCCATCATTTATTCTAAAAACGTATAACTTTCCTCAGATTTTCAATTTATAGTTTTGTAAAGAAAATATCAAAATTAACTAATGATAATTATTTTAAATAATGAAACACACATCCTCCTTAACCAATTAGTTTTGTGATTTGACCCCAGACATTGTTATACATTGTTGGATAGATTGCATTTTTTACTTTACGTAATTTAGGCATTTAAAAAGTATCATTTTTTACTTTAAAAAGTTTAACAAATAAAAATAATTATAAAAAAAAAAAGTGTGATAATAAAACAAATAAAAAAAAAAGGTTTGCCATTTTTGTACACACAAAAAATTGTGCAGGCGATTTTTTGAAAAAAAAACAAAAAATAAGACTATTAAATATTCAAAAGAGAAAGAGAAAATAAAATGTTCAAAACTAAAAATCCACTTGAAATATGTGATAAGTGTAGAAACAATATATAAACTAAAAAAAACTACCCAGTGGGCATAAGACACCCTTACACGTCTGGGAGACGTCCATTGGACATCTGCACATCCCATTGACGTCGGTCGGACATCTTAGGACGTTTAATGCCCACTGGGTACTTGCTAGATTTAATGATATACTGAGCTCTATTTATAAATCTGGCAAATATTTTATTTGACGGGTAAACAATGTTACAGCTTTAACCTTTTGCAATTTGTCACTGTCACTATCACTGCAAAATTTACAAACTAACGAGTTTACGTGGAAGAACTTGAACAAAAAGCAGTAGCAAGTTTTCCAAGTCGCGTTCACCCAAAAAAAAAAAATTCAAATCTTGCCTTTCAATCATCAGAAAAGGAAAGAAACACAAATGTTAAAATAAAATTTTAGCTGTAAAAATATTAGAAAAACTTCAAATCTCAACTAAAGTTTTTTTATTTCAAATTCTCAGAAAAAGTATAAGAATAAGAATTAAAAAAATAAACTCGTTAAAAGTGCCTTTACAAATATCAGTAGAATCCTTAAAAAATATACCTAGACATAATTAATTTAATAAGGATTCAATCAAGATTTACTTTGTCCAACAAGACACTTATACAGTACGCTAAATTACTCAGGTAAAACAATTTTTTTAAAGGATACTATGTATTATTCTTTATAAGTAATATAGATAATTTTAATTTGATGTTCTTTTCATAATAAAAATGTTATTTATTGGAGGAAGAGACTTTCTTTCCTTTATAAATATATTCACAAACATAAAACAACCAGAAGTAATTTATTTTATAAATATATTCACAAACATAAAACAACCAGAAGTAATTTATTTTATAAATATATTCACAAACATAAAACAACCAGAAGTAATTTATTTTATAAATATATTCACAAACATAAAACAACCAGAAGTAATTTATTTTATAAATATATTCACAAACATAAAACAGCCAGAAGTAATTTATTTTATAAATATATTCACAAACATAAAACAACCAGAAGTAATTATGAAGAATCTCAAAAATCAAAAATATAAAGAAAGTTTTGTAAAAACTTGTTTTTTACAAGTTCTAAATGTTTCTGAAAGTCACAACAATTATTCAGTACAATGTTTCTTTAATAATAAGCATTCTATAATAACAGAAAAAATTTAAAAAAACTTTGATAAAAAAAAACAACGCTTATTTGTAGCTGATTTTAAACTTTGTCAAATGATGTGTGGTTTCTCCAAGTGCCAACCTTACCATATATGCAAATGTGTGGTTTCTACAAGTGCCAACCTTACCATATATGCAAATGTGTGGTTTCTCCAAGTGCCAACCTTACCATTTATGCAAACAAAAAAGAATGAAACCATTTTAAGAAAACAAGTTTAGAACTTTTGGTTCAAGCGACAATGCAAAAAATTCTCTAGCAAAATCTAGCAAATTCTCACAATCAGGTTCAATGAAACATAATGCTGAAGATTATTGTAATGATAATAATTCTCCATTGATACACCCAGAAGCCAGCGACTACTTATTGGTATAATAACTTTATCCACTAGAGTTACACCCAATGGAGGAAGCTCTTAATCATATTTGTAGTATTTTATTTTATATAATCATATAAAGAAATGTGGTAGTAAAAATAATGTTGCTAAAGTTTCAATTATTCGCAACATTTAACAATGCTTTTAACAGGAATGTCTCCAGTTATGATGAATCCAGAAAATTATGATGAATCCAGAAAAATATTTAAAAATTGACTTAATTATAACTATGTTGTCATAAAACTAATTAACAAACAGTATCTCAATTATACTATACATTAATTATTGTCCATGACATTGGTTTCTATTTTACAAATGATATATTCATGACAGTCATATCCAAATAATATAACCATTATTACTATAGTTTTATTTAGGGTAAAAGCTTTTACTTTTAAAGCTGTAACTTTTGAACAATTAATAAATTTTTATTTATAAATTTGTGTAAAAAATAACAAATTCCCGAACCTAAAAATGTATTGTTTTTAGGGATCCCTTAAAATGTAATTTATTTAGGGTAATTCCACATCAAATCACCTAAAATTTTTTTTAGGTGATTTGATTAGTTTTTTAAACTAATTTATTTTCAATAAATTAGTTTAAAAAACTTGCAAATAGAATTTTGTTAAATATTAAATTTAGTTTATAGACTCCTTAGATAAAAAAAAAAAAAATTGTTATATTTAAGGAAGTCTTAACTATATAATAAATTTGTTATTTGATCTTAACAACTGAAAAAAACATCCTGTTTTGAATCTGACTAGGTGTGATATTGAAGTGCACTTGTTTTTAAAATTTTAACAACTATAGTTTGTAAAAACTAGTTTATAAAAAATTCAGTGATAACATCATTAATCGGTAAAATTTTATTGAAATATTAAAAATTTTATATATATAGATTTTATATATATAAATATTTATAAAGAAAATTAACAATATCTCTCAATTTTAAATATTATACAACAGAAGGATTCTGAAAAGGTTTGAATTATTTCTATATTAATTTTTTTTTTTACTCAAAATAATGTAGAATAAAAGAATTTTTTAATTTTTTTTTTAAGAAATACATTCACCCTAAGTAACTTATTATAAGATGTGTTCTATATTGTGTTTATTGACATCAGATGAATGCAATGACCAGCAAGATGTTATTGAAACTTTAAGCAATGAAGAAAAAATAACTATATCATTACATTGTAACATTGAGTTATCAAACTTAACGATATTATGTGAAAGACATGCTATAAAATATTTGAAATTGTATCCTATATGGCAGAAAGCATGTTGTGATCCATTCAATAAACATACAAAGAAAATCACAAGTAAGTAGATGTAGAATTTAAATATTTTATATATATATACTTTTTTAATTTGTATTTTCTAAAACATAAACAATGTTTTGTACAATTGCGCAGATAAGCTTTATATAATTCAATTACTTTTCTCATAGTAGTTACAATAATGAGTCACAAGTCATGATGAGAAGTAGCTTGAATATTGCTCCTGGGAAGAAACTTTGCAAACCTTGTAAGCAAAAGATTGCCATAAAAGAAGATCTTAAAGAAAAGAAACAAAGTCAGGAACAAGATGAGGATTTTCTAATATCATCATTCAAATCAAAAAGACAGAAGATCAATGAAGAACTCAAAAATTTTAATATATCTCCTCTAAAATCTCATTCAAAGTCATCAAAACATATTCTCTCAGAAGGAAAGCGAAAAATTGCGCGCATCAATGAAATGGTAAATGTTACTAGAAAAACTGAAAGTCAAGTCAATGTTCCTTCAAAACTGTGTTATAAAACAAATAACATGAAAATGAAGGCTGAAAACTTTGATGAAATTATGAGCTTGATAAAAAAAAAACTCTATGTTCTGACAAAAGGACTATTGTTCAACTTCTAACACTGGCACCCCCAAGTTGGTCGATATTAGAAGTACAAAATAACTTCGCAGTTGCAGAATACGAAGCAAAAATGGCTAGACAAACTTTTTAATAAAAAAGGATTGTTAGCTATCTCTCCATTGTATAAAGGTAAAATCTTACACAAAAAAATAGAAGATTCTGTTAAATTGTTTTATGACTCAAGTGATTTATGTAGAACTATGCCTGGAAAAAAAGATTATATTAGCATTCAAAAGAACAACCGTAAACAAAAAAAACTGCTTTTGTGTAATTTAAAAGAACTATATGTATTACACAAAGAAAACAATCCAGAAATAAAATAGGTTACTCAAAATTTGCTTCACTTGACCAAAGTGGTGCATTTTGCCAGGTGCAAACGGTACACAATCTGTTTGTGTTTGTTGTTATCACCAAAATGCCATATTGCTAGTAGATGCCTTAAATATTGGACTAAAGTATAAGGATTTACTTTGAAAAACCGTTGCTCAGTAGAAAATAAAGAATGCATGCTTGCACAGTGTGATAATTGTCCTGGTAAAGAAACCCTCACCAAATATATGTATGAGATTTTCGGAGACCACGAAGATGATTTTGAGATACACTACAAGCAATGGCAAACTACTGATTGTGCAACACTATTGAGTTTAACAGCAGATGTTTCAACATTTGTTGAACTATTAGTATCTTGCTTGGAAAAGCTACAAGCTCATTCTTTTATTGCTCACTCTTAATCACAGTACCTTAACCAACTAAAACAAAATATGGATCAATCAAACATTATCATTATTGGCGACTTTGCTGAAAATTATACTTTTGTAGTCCTAGATGAAATACAAAGCTATCATTGGAACACCCAACAATGTTCTTTACATCTATTAGTGATATACTATAAAGATGATAAAGGTGTACTGAAACATATTTCTTATTGTTTTATATCAGACGACATTACACATGATGTAACTTATGTGTTCAAAATATTTCAACTAATCATACCAATATTAAAAATAAAATTTTCCAATCTGTCCAAATTACATCTATTCACTGATGGTTGCGCAGGACAGTACAAAAAATGTAAAAGGTTTTACAATCTATGCCAACTAGAGAGCAAATTTTCCTTTAAAGTTGAATGAAACTTTTTTGCCACGTCACACGGAAAGTCACTATGCGATGGGATTGGCGGCACTGTAAAATGGTTAACAGCGCAAGAAAGTTTAAAACGACCATACAGAAACCAAATTTTCACATCAGAGGCTATGTATGAATTTTGTATTGAGAAAATCAAGGTTGTTAACTTCATTTACATAAAGGCGATAGACTTTTTGCTCCTCACATTGCAATTTAGCAATTGCAATGTGAGAAGCAAAAAGAAAGGTACAATGGTGTAACAACTCTACCTGGTACTCGTAGCTTTCATCAATTTATACATATTGGAGATAACAGGGTTGGGGCAAAGAGGTGTAGTACAGACACTAATTATACAATAATTCACAACCTTAAAAAGAAACAAGATATATTTAAACTTGATACTGTCACTTTAGGACTTATGTAGCTGTAGTCTATGATGATAAGTGGTGGATCGGCATTGTAACTGAAACTAACCTAGAAGAAGTTGATGTTAAAGTTAAGTTTCTTCACCCAAAAGGTCCATCAATCTGTTTTAACTGGCCTGAAAGAGAGGACAACTGTTTTATTCTTAACACCAACATATTGAAAAAACTATCTGTTCCACAAGCTTGCTCTAGTTCGGATAGAAACTATGTGTTTGAAAATGCTGAAATAGAAGAAGTACAAGTAAAATGGGAACAATATTGTGAACTATTACAAACACAGTCAAAATAACTTACATCTTTAAAAATCTAGTATATTTAAATACCTTTTTAAATTGCGATTAAATTATTTTTATTTTATTTACAAACATTTTTTGGGAATTTCTTGAAAAAGTAATACATCTTTGATATTAAAGTTTCATATGTTTCAGTTGTTTTTCCAGTTACATATTTTGTGCCTAGTAAAATTATAAACAGCTGAATATATAAACAGCAAAAAAAAAAAAATTTTGATGGAGGTGTTTTGAGATATTGGGCCGCAACGTTGGTTTATAGAAACTAGCTGCCTTATTAACTTTTAGGCATGTTCCTTTTATATTTCAGCATTTTAAGTACATTTATTGAATTCAGCATCAAAAAAATACTATATATGTTTATTTTCATATTTTTGCCATTTTTATTTCTAATTTTTTTAAGAAAAATATTTTTTTAGAATGTAAACCGGGTCATTTTGGGAAACCAGATCAATGTTAAAATCGCAGTATCTTGTTAAATGTTAAAATCGCAGTATCTAAAATCGCTCAACATTTTTGGCTGAAATTTTGCATGCAATATTTTTTTATAAATAGGAATAATGTGTCAAAATATAAAACAAACAGAAGACACATGGTTCAATGGATTGGGTGATTTGATGTGGAATTACCCTTTAGTAATGAGAATTGTGTGATTTCGGTGACAAAATCTACTTATCGTAATGGATCCAACAATATATGAGAATGCCTAGGGTCAAATCAAAAAACGAGAAATTGGTTAAAGGCATGTGTGGAAATGAATAAAAAAACTTATTAGGCACTAGGACTTATATGCTCTATAGAATGTTTTATTTTTTAGAGAAAATTAGTTATAATGAGAAGTATAAGATAATTAGAGATGTAAAGTATTGTCTCAATTGTTAATGTTAAGTAGATTGTCTCAATTGTTGCTTTAAACCAATGTACAAAACTGAGACCATTATGCCACATCCACAATAAAAGGATAGTGTCATAACTAATAACAAGTCACAACTACTACTACTACTACTACTACTACTACTACTACTACTACTACTACTACTACTACTACTACTACTACTACTACTACTACTACTACTACTACTACTACTACTACTACTACTACTACTACTACTACTATTACTACTACTATTACTGGTGCTGCTGCTGCTACTCCTACAAAAAATATTCTTATCTCAGGTAAGACTTTCTACATAAAAACTAGTAAATACTTAAGAAATGCTCATAAAACTATTTTTTCAGTGAAATTTCAGGTACATCGATACTTATATATATAAATTTAAAAATAAGAAAAATATAGGTCGGCTATTTTTTGCCAAAAAAACGGCAGACTATTTTTATGGTCAAACTTTTGTTTCAAATAATTTTTGCCAACCTGATGCCGACCTCTAAAAGATTAAGGTCGGCAAATTATTGCCGATTTCATATTTCCTAATTCCCAGGGTTGATATACATATAAATTTACACATACATATACATAGAGACTTAAACTGTTTTAAACATTAATCCAAAAATAAATTAACCTGACTTGATAAATTTCTTTTGAGTACGGGTTTATCTTTATAATAGGCCCTAAAGCTTTTGAACAACGATCTTTCTCCTAAACGAATAACAACATTTAAATAATAAATTTAATAAATGTGAATTATAAAAAGTAAAACCAAAGATTAATGAAGATACATAATATGTGGCAGGAATCCATGTCTTGGCTAAATACTCCACAGCATCGGGATTAGTAAGCTTCAACTTTTCAGCAGCACCTATACCATCTACAAGTACTGTCTCGCCACCAGTTCCTGTGTGTTCATGGCAATGAAACATCTGTAGGCTATAACAAAAAACTTATTACAAATTAACTGCAAAAGTAAGAACAAAAAGACTTGCAAATTGTTGTTTCATGCTCTCAGATGATTCAGTAACCATTTGTGGTTAATAGAACCTAATTGTATTATAATAATAATAATAACCACAATAACAATAAATATTAAAATAAACTAAATTTTAGTTAAAACAACAGAAATTATTTAAACAATATATATATATTGTGATATAAAATTGGTGCAATAGAAATCAATATTAAATCCAGTATTAAAAACATTTTTGATATACAAAAGCTTACCATCATTTTCGTATCAACTAGATAAGATTGTCACAATTTAAAAGATGATGCTTTAAATAAATAAATTCTTACTTGTTTTTGTATGGAGGACTGCTGTCAAATTTTATTTTTGAAGGCCACTTCAGATGAGGAGGCTACTTATTTGTGGTTATAACCACAAATGTCAAATTTTATAATAAAAGGCCACTACAGACGAGGAGGCTACTTGTTTGTGGTTATAACCACAAATAAGTAGCCTCCTCGTCAGTGTGGCCTTCTAGGCCTTGAGGAGGTGAATTAACGCACAACACACAAGTCTCTCTACCATCATTGTTAGGTTATCAATTTTTCTACAAACAATTTTTCTACAAACACTACTATAATCTCTGTTTGAGCAACCTATCAACCTATCAACCTTATCTTCATCAACCAAAAATCTTCTCCTTTATCTTTATCGTTTATCTTCAAACTTTTAATTAAAAAAAAAATTATTTATTAATTTTTTATTGTTTTTGTTTTATTGTTTATAAGTTGTGTAGACAGATGTTATAAACTTTGATATCTTATATTGTTGATCTTAACATAGGCTTTTTATTTGTTAGTTTAGTTACTTTATTCAATGAATAGTTTTAACCAATAAAAACCTACATTATTCCATTTTAGATGCCGATTTTCTACAGTCAACATTATCTAACAACAACATTAAAAATCAAAAGCTTTTGACTAGATGTAACTTGCTATTTTAAACGTTTTTACAGTACTTCCTTAATTTTTTGAATTTAAAACACTTGTGCACTTTTTTTTGGACAATAAAAAAAAATGATTTGTCTCTAACTTTTAACACCAAAATAAATTTTTTGAGAAATAATTGTTTTGAAAAACAAATGTTTTAAAAAATAAGCAGTTGATTTTTTTAAAATCTACTGTATTTAATATAACTTGTTACAATTAATAAAAAAACTCTATATTACTAGGGGAAGGAGGGGGTCCATAATTCTATATTTCTTGTTTAACCAGTTATTCTTAATTAATTTTTTGAGAAAAGTTTAAAAAAAAATTCAGTTTTTGCTAATTTTTTATGTTTGACCTTCTACTTCTATTTTAAAAATTTAAAAGATATAAATAAAAGTCTTTGCAAAAGTTTCTTTGCGTATAAAGTTACTCAACTTTTCTTTCAAATTTATGTTATTCAAATTTTGATTGGATGAATTTGATTTTTAATCGTTGCGTTTTAGAAAAAAAAAAGTTTAATCTGAAGTCTTTTTCTGAAGAAACATTTTAAATAAGTAAAATGACAGATTGCTTCAAAAAAAAAGTTTAATCTGAAGTCTCTTTCTAAACAAAACGCTTTAACTAATCAAAAAGACGGATTGCTTCAAAAAATCTTAATTTGCTTTTTTTTATTTATTTTTAATCGTTACTAAAGCTATCAAGAAGGCTATTCAAGATTTCTTTTTTTTTTTTTCACTTTTCTTTAATGAAGTCAAGAAAAATCTGCTTTTAAAGTGCCAGTCAGTAGAAGTTCAGTTAAATTCTAAAGTTTTAACAATTCTAAAGATAAACAGTTAGTATAAAGGAACACCGCTACCTAAAATACTTTATAAAAAACAAACTGGGTGATTTTGAAATTTTCTGCTTTACTTCAAAACACAGTGAATAGCTAGTTAAAAAAAATTCTAGAAGCAATTAATAAGTATACCTCAAAGAGGTTGAATGATTGTATCATTCTTGCTAGAGTATTTTGGAAAAAATTAGCCTAAGGACTTTAAAAAAGAGAAAAGTATTATGTATTTGGTTGATGATGGAATATGATTAGTATTAACTTTCTAATTAAGTTGTTGCAGTTGGAAAGCTTTGGAAAAAACTCATTTAATTTCAACAGTAAATGTATACTTAATTATTTAAACCATATAAAAAATGAAGGTTCGCGCAGTTTAAAAATATTTTGGAGAATTAATGTGCAGTTATTTGTCCAAAAAGTTGAAACTATGGAATATAGTTAAAACCAGCTACAAAAACAAATGGATAACAATGGAAGAGCAGCAAACTTTACATCAGGTGTTCAAGATGAGTTCTGTTTTAGCTTGATTAAAGTTACAAGGCAGCCCATTTAGCTGTGAACTAGACATTATTGAAGTAGATAAAGATATGTTAAAATGAAAAAAAATTCGAAAAATGAGGTTCTTTATTTTAGGGATACAATGTAGGTAATTGTCGCGGAGGTCTATTCTGTTTAAATACGTGATTGTTGATATAAAAATACAAACCTCCATCTTATGTCTACCAAAGAACACGCTCATAACCTAGATGTTCTATAAGGAAAGTTCACGCAGCAATCTCTATCACATATGATAACTTTTTTAGTTATTTTCCATTTTCAATAGTAAATAACAAACTGTATGAATTATTTTCATATATGCTTAATTTTTTTTGTTACTTATAAATGATAAGGTATATTATTAATAAATTAAACAGAAAAAGATTACTAGTTTTCTACTTTTCTTATATTTAATGATAATAATAATTTCATCTATTTTTAACAATGCCTTTTTTTGTCAATATATTCACTTTTATTAAAATCGAAGTAGAAGGCTAAATAATTAAAATGAAAAAAAATGATTATGATTTTCAAAATCAGCATAAAAAACTAATTAAGAAAAATTGGTTAAACTATAAAAAGCCAAAAAAAAGACGATTATGGACCCTCCCTAATATTACAACAATGAAATTTGTTATCATAACATGAGACAATTTTTGTGATAACAGATAAAAAAAAATGATCTTACCCAGGTGAATCTAAAAAATATGTTCCATCAGTATGACATGGAAGAGCAACATTTGAATATGCTAAGTCAGCATGATCCATATCTTCTTCTGATCTGTTTGTTGTTAACCATACATCACCATAAAAAGTCTTACGTGGATACCCAATAAGATTACTAATAGTTCGAACAGACTAAAACATATAAACAGAATAAATGAATAATTAACAGATAAAAAAAAACAGTGTTTAACAAGAAAAATAAAAAAATATTAAAAATTAAAATTATATTGAACATCTGCCATTAATTACCTCAAGTGTTGTTGGGGTGTTTTTTACAATTGCAAAGCCATATATTGCCTATCAAGAAAAATAAACAATGTTTATGTAAGTATTTATATATATATGTATATAAATATATACATATATGAACATTTACTTGTATTGCAAAAAAATATTGCATGAAATTTTGTTGGAAAAAGAATCGAAATTAAATATATAACACATCATATATTACCCATAACACAATTGCTTATTAAAAAATCTTTATAACAAAGTTGATGATATGTGTTTTCCAAACATTTCTACAAAGTTCATGATATGTGTTTTCCAAACATTTTTACAATTAATTTAGCTTAATGCCTATTTTTTATGGTTTAATGTATTGAAATTGGAGGTTGTCTCATGAAAAAAAATTTACAATCCGTCCTTTATCAGGCAAAGAAAATATTGACTAACATTTCAGATGTTTACTATATTGTAGTAAAATGCATTTAAATTTACAATTCAGTCCTAATTTAAATTGACATAATAATTTAGTTTTTATGATAAAAATATGATTTAATATATAAATGTTTTTAGTTACAATATTTTTAATGAATTCTTTTACTTTTGATTTGCCATTTAGAAACAAGATTGTTGAAAATAAGGAAACTATTTAGGTGAAATGTAGTTTGTAGAAAATAAAAATGTGCCCTCCTCTTTTAAAAATGACCCATTAGGAAACAAACAAATGTTGGTTAGTGAAAAATTTTAGGAGACAATGAATTGTTTAGATACATACCATAATGGAGATCTCCAGCATTTTAGAAAATTTAAAAAGTCTAATGATGTCCCTAATTTTATTTGAAAAAAGTATTAAAAAAAATTTAGCTCAAACTGAATTTGGAATAGGTTTGACTGCACTGAATGCAAAATTTCTGTTATAAATAACAGTTGGTAAAACATTTATTAAATTTCTAAGGAAAGTATTTTAAGGCACAAAACAACTAAGAACAAGTTAAGATTTCCAATAGCTTCACACACCATGCCAGATTTAGATAGTAGATACTCACTGATATTTTACAGCTGTTGATGGAATCAGTCTCTCTGAGAGCTACCACAGAGTTCGGGAAATCTGACTACCAGCTGACCTCAGAACTGACACAAACAAAATCCATGCGTCAAGACAAGAAGTCCCAGCATTCAACATCCTAAACAGGAAACAATGTACTATAAATACATCTGCGCCAGCCTAATAGATAAAGAAAAGGTGCTAGTCACAGGTAGAGTTTGTTTTCCCCTCAAGTCTTTGCCGAAGAGGCTTTCTACAAAACAGTAACCAGATGAATTTAATATCTGTTTAAGATGAGTATTTTTATTGAGACACTATCTCTAGCCTTACCTCAAAAAAGACCCAAAGGCAGGTTTTTTTTGCAGATTGCAAGCACATATGTGTATGTGGGGGGAGGAGGTGGAGGGATGATGGGGATGGTAAATGAAAGAATTATAAGTCAAAAAATAAAACTTTTTAATAACATGAAAACACATTTGTTGTCTATGATGGTAAGACTATTAAAGAGTTCATGCAACCAATTAGTTTGCATTTAACACTTTTAAGGAAAGAAAACAGTAAGTAAAAAATGGAAATAAATGAGACTAATTTTCTACCACACACAAATAATAGGCAAAGAATAAGCAAGGTAGGTGCGGCCGTGGTAGATGTGAAATAAACTTACCATATGATGATTATAATATATTTGATGACACTGATGTCACATATTATCTACTATGGTCCATATTATCTTTGTGGCACATATCTACCATGGTCCATATTATATATGCTAACTATCAATCCCCACCACGTCCGTGGTAGTACCGCGCTCAACTCATTTCTCCGCGCAGCGGCCTTGTTCGTCAAGGTTCGTGTTTCAGAGTTATAGAGTTGAGAGAGGGTTATAACCACAAATAAGTAGCCTCCTTGTCTGTAGTGGCTTTCTCGGCCTTGAGGAGGTGAATTAAAATTAAAAAAAAAAAATTAAAAAAAAAAAAAAAAAAAAAAAAAAAAAAAAAACCAGCTAGTATAACTATATTTATCACTTTTACAATTTGTAATTAAATTAGAATTTTGTATATTTAAAAAAGTTAAAGATTTCATTGATAATGCCATAAACAAATATTTAATATATTTTCTTACAACATTTTCCAGAAGTTTTAGTAGATCTTCTTTTTCTTTACATACCTAAATGTTGTTTAACTAATATACTATACTTACAAAAAAAAAAGTTATTAAAAAAATTGAAACAAAACATTTTAATGTTCTAATATAGAATAATAAAATGTTAAAGCATAAAGAAGAGACAAAAAGAGGAGAAAAAGTAAAAGAACAAAAAGTTAAAGAAAAAAATATGAAAAGAGATACAAAGCTTAACATAAAAATTTTAGCTCTAGTACTCAGTAACAAGACAATCAGTAAATGAATATAAAATCTTTTAAGTAACAATTATTCGGTTGACTAAAAAAAACTATTATTTATTTTTGACTCCAAAAAGAATCTGCAACAATAAATGCACTATTACTGCCTATGCTTGCTTGCTAATGCTTTGGCAAAGAACAAATGCTGTTGGCATAGAACTCTATTCAATTTTTTTTTTCATTGTTCTACTTAGTCATTTCATTGTTCTGATTATTGTGTGTGTGTGGCTCAAAATAACTTTTGTGTGTGTTCTGATTATAGTGTTTTGTGTGTGTTCTGATTATAGTGTGTGTGTGGCTCAAAATAACTTTTGATGTATAGATTTTGCAATATGAGGACATGTATTGTCACAAAGGAAGAAATTTTGTTGTTTAAACACAGGCATTTTTCAAGAGCAGCACTTGATGGTTATCGAGATGACACAGTAGGTTACTACTAATGTAGTGTTCAGTGCAAGTAGTTGCAAGTAGTTTCAAGAGATGCCAAGAATTACACACAAAACCAAATGTAAAACCTTTTCAGAGTGTAGGTTGATTAATAGAGCCAGTTTTAGCAGTTGTTGTGGCCCTAGCTACTAGCCCTTCCTGGTAAGATTTAGCTAGAGTACTCACTTCTCATCTCTGGTGATGATATATTCAAGTTAGTTGAAGCCCATTGCAAAAAAAAGAAGTTAGCGCAGAAGTCTGCTAGTCTCCTTGCATTCAGTTCATGAATCTAAACACATAGCATCAAGGTCTTTCCATTTAGTCTAAGTTGTATTTTTAATACTAAAAATGCATCCAAGTTCTCTTGTTACGCAACACAAAAGTAATTTTGGATTGCTCTAAATTAACTGGTTAGAGACTCTAAATCTAAATTAATTTGACTGCTGGACCTGGGTTGAGTTTGCAATGTTTAATCACCATCACAAAATTGTGGAAATCAACACTTTGCTGTAGCCTTAAACACCAAACCCTGACCTATCCAATCACTTATATTCCATTTGGTTTTGGACGCTGATTTATAACATGATAAAGAGAGCCATACACTGATTTTGTTGTTATCCATTTTAATAAAAATAAAAAGGTTGCAATGCCAAAATATAAATTTATTTGATTGGCCATTTCACTTCCTTTATAACCTCAAATCATTGAAACTTTTTAAAGTTTTTAAAACTTTCTGACAGTTTTCTTAAAAATTGCTATTTTAAATTTTTTTTAGAAAGACTATTTTTTAACCAAACCAATAGTAATAATCAGCTACACAAGTTTAATGAAAGTGAGAAAAAATAAACAACAACCATTTAACCATTCTCCTGAAATAACCAATGAAAAAGAGCAAAATCATAAAGAAGCCATCAAAGATAGTAATGTCATGAAAATCAGTTTGTACCAACCCGATGCATAGTATATGCCTATTAGGGTGTCCCAAAAAACAACATTTTTGAAAATAATCTGCTCTCACCCCCTAAATGTGTTCTATCTAATACAAAAACACTAGGTTTAAATTTTTTTTGAATAAAAAATATTTTAAGGGGTCCCTCAAAACCCTCAAACATTTAATAAGTCCCTAATATTTTCGAAAAAAATGTTTTTCAAAAATATGTCAACCTGGTACTCAAATGAAGCGAAATCATATAAATATTTCGAAAATAATATTCATTTCAAAATATTTTTAACTTATTTATCAAAATTATCATAAAAAAACTTTAGAAATGCATTTTTTTTATTTTTTCTTAAAAAACGCAATTTTTTATGTAATAAAACCAAAAATAAAAATTTTGTTTTGAAATGAATATTATTTTTAAAATTTTTATATAATTTCGCTTCATTTGAAAATATTAGAGACCCATTAAATATTCAAGGGTCTTGAGGGACCCCTTAAAATATTTTTTATTCAAAAAAAATTTAAACCTTGTGTTTTTGCATTAGATAGAACACATTTAGGGGGTGAGAGCAGATTATTTTGAAAAATGTTGTTTCTTGGGACACCGCATTGCCCATAAACAGTTAATGTGGAACAACAGTCTGAAAATAATTTTTTTAGTTTGCTGCAATACGATTTAACTTTGTTAATGGAATTTTACTTGGGTTGATGCCATTTTAATTTGAATGATGCCATTTTAAATTGACAAGAGTTTTATGTCAAAAGTCTAATCAAGTTTTAAAGCAAAGTTTTTAATCAAGTTTGAAATCAAGAGTTTTATATCAAAATTTCTTTATTATACTTTCTATGCTATTCTCTTATATCAATTTTTAGTTTTTTGTTCCTTGCTTGAAATTTTTAAAAGTATTTTTCCAATAGCAAGATAATAAAAAAGAATCCTAGAAAAAGTGAAGCATATAATGAAGTGAAACAAAAGTAAAGCATATAATGCAAAACTGAAACAGATAAATAGAGGACACAGAAAGATCATAAAAAATCAATATCAAGACACATAAAATGTTAGTATATATGTTTTACACAATTTTTATTTTTTGTTACACACAATAAAAGATTATAAAAAATGTATTTACATTTTCAAAATGAATTGACTCAGGAACATTTGTTTGTATTTCTTTACCCCAATAGCGGCATTTTATATCACTAAATGCAAAAAAATAAATAATAAATTTGTCTTTAATAAAATTTCATTTAGTTGTTATGATAAAATACTTGTCTTTTGTTGTTGCAAATGATGGAATGTCTTTTTGTAAATTTTTTTTTTTTTGTAAACTTTAGTTCTGTTTATTTCAAGTGACTCAAATTTTTTAAACAAAATATTCTAGAGCATCAAATATAGTTTTGGGAAGCAACTAGTCAAACATATCTTGGTTTGATTTAGAATAGTACCTGAACTGGCCCATTTCCTTTTATACTTTTTTTTCTGTTACTCAATACATTTTGACATAACTTTCTTTTTAGATTCACAAATGTATATAACTGCATGAAGATTTTATTTGGTAAACGCCTGAGTTTGTATTTAGAAGAAGTTTTGTCTTATTGTTGCAGAATATATTGTTTAAATTTAGAGCTGATGAGAATATAACTTTTATGTTTTGTTTCCAAAGTTCTTTATGTTTGGGACCAACAATTAGTATCAATGGTAGCTTTATAAATGGTTAATTGCCAATCTGTTGATAATTGGTATTTTTAAAATCTTTTTTTATGTAGTTTCTGGCAATATTAGTATTATTTAGATTTTGTTAGCAAATACTTATGAAGTTCTAATAATTGGTGTATGTTTACAAGAGAAAATTAAGTTTGAGTCCTTAGGTTGCGGATGTAATTAATTGATATATCAATAATAACTGAAATAACTTTAATGCGATAGATGTATAGTGGTAGAGCGCTTGCTTTATAAGCCTGAGGTTCTGAGTTCGATTACTACCACATCCCTAATAGTACTACATTCAACTTGTTTCTCCGCGCAGCTGCCTTGATTGTCAAGGTTTGTGTTTATGAGTTGTAGAATTGAAATAGGGACAAAAAATCTGATGGATTCCATATATTCTAGGCGGCACACAATCTGATATAATCCTTATATTCTAGGCGGCACTCAATCTAATGGATTTAACATTTTAGGTGTCACACAATCTGATGGATTCTATATATTCTATGTGATTAAGCAAAAAAAAAAAAGCATTTATTTTGCAGATAATTTTAACCTTGACCTAAACATAAGTCATTTAAATACAAATATGAATAATTTCTTCAACGTCATATATCAAAAAGGCCACTTCCACTAAAAAAAGGCCACTTCCACTAATTAATAGGCCTACAAGAATAACTAGAGAAAGAAAAAAATATGCGAAATATAAAATAAAAATAAAAAATCCATGAAAAAATAAAAATTCCATAAAAAAACTTAAAAACTCTTCTATCAAATTTAAATTGGAATGGCCTCCTTGATATTGAACGCACAGATAAGACATTTGATAAGTTTATTGATAAATTACAACCACTTTACAATACAGCTTTTCCTGTAGTTACAAAATATGTGAAAAAAAAACAACATTAAATCCATGAAAAACATTGAAAATAAAACTATTGCAAGTAAATCATTAATTGCTGAAGCACTTGATCAATATTTTGTCAGGTTCCACTTTAGCGTCAAAAATAGACATTGAGTATATTATATCTTACTCCTAATAAGACCTCTAAGATGGATAATTATGAAATTACTGAATGGCTCAAAAGTTATCTAAACAATACATAGTACACGAAGAAGGAAAAACTGATTACTTGACCATAACTTGCGTGTTCCCCAAGGCTCAATTCTGGGTCCACTTTAATTTTTTATTTATGTAAATGATAATTTAACAACATAACGAGTTGCCAATGAAAAGATCAGGAAGTTTTAATGGAATATTTCTTTATCGTGAATTTAAAAAAATTATAATTAGTTTTATCTAAATTTAAAAGACAATTTTTTTGCCATTCTGCTAGATTTAAAAATTCCTTGTACACTATTTTAAATAAAAGGTATCATCTCCATTATAATAAAATAAATTCATCAAAATAGTTTTATCTGCAAATAAAACTGAGTTTAAAATGTTTGAAAACTTGACTTAGGGAGAACACATAAGAATGATAGAAAATAAAAAAATTGGTAATTGGCATACTATACAAAGCTAAGCAATTATTAAACCAAAACTGCCTAAAAATCTTATATTGCTCCCTCATACATTGTTATTTAAACTATGCAAATATTTCATAATGCAGCTCTAATGTAAGTAAAGTTAAAAAATTGCTTAGTAGACAAAATGTCAGAAATATTTCAGGTGCAGATCAATTCACACATTCTAAAGAACTATTTAAAGATGATCACATACTTAATGTTTTTCAGTTGAACCTTTATCAAAATCTTATATTTATGTACAAATTTCATAATAAAGTAACTCCTATAATGTTTAATACAATTTTCATAAAAATGAATTATATGTACCCTACAAGATTTTCAAATTACAATTACGAGCAACCTAAAATGCATTATTTGGTTACTAAATTTGGAACACTTTATTAAATAACTAGCTGAAAAATTTTTCTTCACTTTCTCTATTCAAACAAAAACTCAAACAAAAACTTCTTAATGATGTTAATGAATTAAATTCTTTTTAAATGCATCCCAAACTCTCAACACATGTTGTGTTCATATTTAAAATAATGGTAAAAAATAATGTTTGAACTAAGTTATTTTGATTAAAAATAAATAATGAATGCATACCAAGAAAAACTAATCTTGTTGTTTTAGCCGAAGCTGGCCTTCTCCATTAATCTCAAAAACTCTGAGTCTTTAAATTATACATTGCAGACTTTAGCGATTCCTTTGAAGTGGGTTTAATTCATAAAAGTTTTAGTATTTGACGTAATGGTAGACTTTTAACTCTGGAAAAACTTTTATTTATTTTTATTCATAATTTTTTTCATTATTTGTTTAGTTATTTGTTTCCTACTTTTAACATTTAAAAGATATCAAAAAACTTAAATATTTTATGCTGGTTCGTTGCTATAAATTGTTCGGGAAGTCAAACGAAAAAACTTAGTTTAGAATAATCTTGTCAAAACATATTTAAAACAAATGATTTTATTGTTAAGAGTACTAAAGTCTTTTATATCTATGTAGGTAAAAAATAAATAACTAAATAAAAAGTTCAACATTAAATCTTTTTTTTATTATATTGCAATTGAAAATATTGAAATATTAACTTGAATAAACTTACTTATAATTTAAAACTACAAAGCAATAAATAAAAAGCTCCTAAAATTATGCGATATTGTGTTGTTTATTTGATTATTGTTGATGTTTATGTTAATTATTTTCATTAATATCAAAATAGTCCCAGATTGGACTGTTAATTGCTTTGCTCATTGTTGATTTATTTCTTAAGTTTAATTCTATGTTAAAAAAAGTTTTTATTTCATTGCATGTTCTTTTTATAAAAGAGTAGAACAAAAGAGAAAGAAAAGTTTCACGTAATTAAACTTTCAATGAATAAGAGTTGTATAGAATATTTTTTTTTTGCGTCACTCGTTCTTTTTTTAGATCAGAGAAATAAACGTTTAATTGTAACTCTTGAATAAATGGGAGTTAAAAGAGAAAATTGCTTGAAAACTTGTATTTGTCAATTTTGTTAGTTTTTTAACTTTCCATGTTATGAGACAAACGGAAATACCAAATATAATATGTTTTTTAACGCGTGTAATGACATTTTGACAATTTAAATTACCATTTATCTTGAATTATTATCATTAATTAATGTGTTAATTATAGCATTAATAATGATTCGTCTGTATTTTTGTTTAATGTTAATTGTATTAAACAGACAAAATATACTTCATGTTTTTAGTTTGATGAATATAAAACATTGAACAGTAAACTTATATTCAAAATTTTTAATGCCGACTTGTGCTGCTATTGGTTGTACATGTAATGCAAAACCAGGATCTCACATATCTTTTCACGAACTTTCATATCTGATACTACTGTCACCTGTATTAGTGAACTCTTGTGCTTTTTTTCCATAACCTTAACCGGTTCTAATTGGGATGGAGTTACCAATATTTTTAATGTTTTGTTATCAAATTTGTAATCAAATACAAAATTTAATGATATTTCCTTTCTTTTATTTAATTTAGCAAATTAAGCAATTTAAATCAGCGTGTTCAAAAATTTTTTATAATAAAAAAATGTAACAGTTCATCAAATATCTCTAATTAATACTGTCAGTTAATGAAAGTAACAGTTAATACTTTTTTTCAATGGGAGAACAAAAAATGTCATAGCGTAAAAATAGAGAATTTAGAAAATAGTTTCCATTGTTTAAATGAAAATAAAAAAAATTCAGAATATATAATACTCTCTTGCAATTCTTGAATATATAATGCTTTCTTGCACAGAAACAAGAGACCGTATATATAAAGTTCTATATAATGTAAAATATTCATATGTAAACCATAAGTTTCATAAGTAAAGGCTTAATATTTGTTTTAATTTTAAAACAAATGAAATATAAGTAAGATATATAAATCTAAAAATTATTAAAATATCTGTAAAAAACAAGATGATCCTTTAAATAAAAATAATTTATTATTTTTACTTTTAACAAAATTTTTTTTGCAATGTTTAGAAAAATATTACAAATAAATTTGTTTTGCTGTATTTAAAAAAAAATACTACAACATACTTATTGAATCAAAGTTGAAAAACGCAGCTTTGTATAATTACATTTTTCTTTTGTCAAAAGACTACCGTGACGTCAAATACTAAAACTTTTATGAATTAAATGCGCTTCAAAGGAATCGCCAAAGTCTGTAGATTGCGACGCATAATTTAAAGACTCTGAGTTTTAGAGTAAAATGGAGAAGACAAGCTTTGACTAAAACAACAAGATTAGTTTTTCTCAGTATGCATTCATTACTTATTTTTAATCAAAAAAACTTGGTTCAAACATTTTTTTTTTTCAACATTATATTTAATTTGAACACAACATGTGTTGGGAGTTTGGGATCCCTTTAAGGTTCTTCTTTTCTTTTTCTTTATTTTTTTTTTTTTTAACAACCATCTTATTAACTGGTCTTTAATTTAAATTTTCTTTAAATTATCCTATTAACTTATCATTAGTTTTTAGGTGTAATTATTATTATTATTATTATTTTTACGATTTTCTTTTTATTATAGATTAGTAACTGATCTTAACATACTTGTAAAATTTGAATTTATTTTTTATACAGTACAAAGTAATTTTATGTTTACATTTTGATGGTTGTACACGCTTGCTAATAAAAGCACTTTGGGGCATAGTGAAAAGGCAAATATTGTCTTCTTTTAGCCTCGGTCATGTAGGTTTCATTTATATAAAACGACATTGTATTCTTTTTTTAAATGACAAAACATATAAATAAAAAAATTATTTTTAATTTAAAAGATGCATCCTTTTGGTATAGTAATGCGAAATCTGAGTCTTTATTAAAGAGATATATCTTAGTATCTGAACTCATTTTTAATTTTTTTAGTAGAAAAACATTGTTGTTTAAACTAAAAGTCAAAACTTTTAAATACAAAGCGTTAAAACTAAAAAGAAAATTGTATGAAGATGCATTGTATGAAGATGCATTGTATCAAGACGAAATTGAGTACGAAAATGGGACAGCTTGGGAAAATTCCCAATAATGCCAAGATAAGTTTGACTGGTTTAATCCCAAAACCATATCTATTGCTTTAGAATATCATGTTCGGAAAATTTGAGAATCACTTGAAATAAACAGAACTAATGTTTGACAAGAGTTGGAAAGTTGCAAAAAAAGTTCTTAATAGTGATGACGATGATAACTTGACAACAAAAGCATGGTGGCCATTTTTTATTTGATTATTAAACATCAACATTTAAAAATCTATTTTTGTATTTTGTTATGTTATTTTTAATTTAATCTTTATAACAGTTTGTTTTATTAAAACGATTTTTATTTAATATACCTGATGATGCTGATCACAGTATATCAGTGAAACATTGAATAATATAAATTTAAATAAAAAATTATTTTTTTAAAAAAAAGTTTATACACAAGCATATTTTAGGTAAAATTTATATAAGTATATACATCTACCTGATAAGAAAAGGTTCTAGTGATTTATTATAATGGTTTTGAAACAACCAACTTTCACTGTATATTGACATATGATTGTCACTCCCTTAAAAAAACAAAAATCATTTTAATTTTAGTGATATATATAAATTGTATACTTAGGTTTTCACACAAAGGTGTGCAATCACATGTCTTTATATGAACAGACAAACTACATTTTGCTATGACAATTTGACCATGGCTAATTCAAAAAACATTTTAAAAATGAACTAAATGAAAAATATTCTGAAAAAGTGAAAGTAATTACATCAAAACTTCTTAATAAATGTTTTCATATTAGTAAAAAAAAATTTTTTTTTAAATATAATTGACAGTTGTATATATTTTTTAATTTATAATATATAAATTCTTTAAGTGCGCATTTCTATAAGAAACGTTATTAAAAAAGTAAAAAATTGTTTTGTTTTTATAAACGATGACATTCTACAAATACAAAAGTTCAATTTTAATATAATAATAATTAAAGTTAATACATTTAAAAAGATAAACAAAATTTTGTTGAAAAAAAAAAAATTTAGAAAGCCGTTACAATTAAATAAGTTTGATCTTAAATTTTTGTATTATTGAAACGCTTTTCAATGAAGTAACAAAACACTTCTGATTAATTTTTAAAATAACTATTTTTAAACTGTTTTTTTAATTTATATAACTATGTATTTTTTATGAGATATGTTTTCCTTTTCAAACATATTAAATAAGAATAAAAAAATTCAAATGTTAAAGCAAAGATTGAAATGGTTTTTTAATGCATAAATTAAATAGACTATGCATTTTAGTTTGATGAGTTTTGTTTTAGTGGGGTTATATATATATTTATTTTTTTTATTTTTTCTTTCGTTAAGATTTTATTTCTTTTTACAATTTTTTTTTAAGGTAAGTTAAGGTAAGTTTTTTTAGCGCGTTTTTAAATTTTGAAAAAATGTCAAAAGCCATGGTCAAATCGTTAAAACATATATATTTTTTTGCATGGTCATATAAATATGTCTGATCCCACACCTACTTGTAAAAGTTTGATATGCTTTATTTTATTTTAAAAAGTTTTATTTAATTGTTCTTTTAAATGAAAAAAAAATTGACTTTTTTAAGCAAAGATTAGGAGAAGTTAACTCCAACTTAAAATACTCCCTTGTCTAGTGATTCTTGCTCAACCCATTATTTATTGAATGCATAGATTTAAATTCTTGATTATTTTGACTCTTATTGTATTTGCTTTGTGGCTCGTTATCAATGCCTAGAACTCATTATGCTCTCTTCTAATGAGGTCATAGCTCTTAAATTTGGTTTAAAAACACTGGGAATAGTTACAGATCAACAATCAATGACTGGCCTACCTTTTTTTTAGGAAAAAAAATATTTTTTCGTTTTATAAGCAGTCAGTTTGGAACCCGCTGTAATCTTTGAATACAGATGATGAAGAAAATTATCATAATCATAAATTGGTTAAAAACACCTAATAGGTGGAAATATCATTTTTGTTCAAAAAACTTTGATTTAGGCGATTCAAAATGATATGCTATAAAGGCTAAACAGAGAAGTGAAATTTTTTTTGCAAATTAAAAGCAAAATATAAAAATAAATTATTTACTAAAAGATTAATCTTAAATAATGATTTAAAAAAAAAAAAAATTTTTTTAAATCATTATTTAAGATTAAAAATGGTTTTTTTTCATTTAAGGTTGCTGATCAGTATTGTAACTTAAAATTATTATTTCCAGTGCTGGTTTAATGCTTCTGGTGCTACCTGGTAATTAGGTTTTTTCCAAATTTAATGGCACAAAAAAATAAACACAAAATGTTTTAACTTATCAAACTTCCAAAATGTTTCAATTTATGTTATAAATAATTTTGGCAATTTATCTTTTTCAAAATTTCTAACACTTACTTGCACTTTATAAGATAATTTTTTTTTCTATTTAATTTATTTTCTGATCTCAGTGTTGATGGCTACTATCCTCTGATTCCAAAATAAATTCTATTACATAAAGACTCCAAAAAAAATTTCCTTAAACAAACATCTTACATAAAAAGTCCCTTACACAAAGACCTTATGTATAAAAACTTCACATAAAATATACATTAAGGTTGCATCTCTTTATTATTTCTACAAATAGTATAATGGTTGCTGCGCAAAAGAGTTAGCATCTCTAGTTACATCAAACAAAACTTATTGTCGCATGACTTAACTTCAGCAATATTGCATCCATCTACTGCATTTGTCTCTTCATGCTCTGAAGAGTTTTTATATTGCTATTTTTATATAATTATGAAACTATATTTCATATAGTTTTTTTCAGTGCACATCAATGGTTTGAAATTCTCTCGCACTGAGAGGATTTCAAACAATTAAAACCTTGATAAAAGACTTAAAACCTTTAAGTTTTTCTTTTGGCTTTCTTTGCTTTTCAAGTTTTCTTTTCCTTTCCTTTGTCCTTTTTCCAAGTCTTTTGGCAACCTTTCCTTGCTCTTTAACATTATTCTTGTTTATTGAATGTGAATTTTTTCTTTATAAGATATTTTTTTTAGGTGAAAAAAGCTTTTCTTAATATCAATAAACAAATATTATACATATATGGCAAAATATGCAATGAATAAAAAATACAGAAGTTTGCTTTCTTTTTTTAATAAAGTGCATTTACTCATTTTTTCCTATTTCCTAAATATTTCCTAAATGCAAAAGCCTACACTTCTAAGTATTAAATAACAAGACTCTATTTGCTTTAAAATAATCATATACATAAGGCCAGGTATTTATTACTCTATAATAAAAGGTTAATGTTAACAAAAATATGATATTGAAATATCGATTTAATTTTAAACTTATATAAATGATTATCAAATATTATTAAAACAAAGTGTGTTTTTTTAGGCAATTATTGATTTATGGTTAATTTTAATACTTGCCACCCCTAGAAACTTGCTGTTTTGCCAACCAAAAAAACAAAAAACAAATGCTTCCATAAAAAAAGACTTGCCTGCAGTTTTTTAAAAAGCTTTATGTTTACACGGCCTCTCATTATAGTAGGCCATGGTATATATACATCACACCTTTAAGATATTTTTATTTTATTTTTTGATAAACAAGCAGAAAAATAAATCAACCAATGAAACACTAATCATAATGAAAGAGCAGTATTAAATTATAATAAAAGAGTAGTAGTAAATAACAAAAATGACTTACATTCTATTCTTAGACATCCATTATTAAGAGAAACATGAAGAGGATAAATATTAGCAGGTATCTATAGATAATAGAAAATATTAACATAAATAGTGGCAGGTATCTATAAATAATAAAAAAATCTTTAGAGAATAAAAACAAAACATTTTTTACAATAAGTTGAAAATCAATAAAACAATTAAAAGTAAAAGTACACAAATTTACAAAGTTTTAGTAAAACTTTATAAAAAATAGTTTATATATAAAAAAAACTATAAAAGAGAAAAGAATATATATCTTATGAACAAATGTTATATTTTCTCTTTTACAAAAAAATACTCAGTTTTCTTTGACAACATTTTTATTTAATAGACTCTTTCTCAATTACTGGGTATTTTGTGTTTTTTATAATTTTTATTTTTCCTAAAATATTTTTGCTTTACGCATTAATTTTTAAGCTTTTTATCAGGAAGAAGTATTTAGTTTTTTAACTAAATGTTTTCAAAAAGTTTAAAATATAATGAAGTACTAAATAAAATTGACATAGCCATGAACCTGTTTTTTAGCAATTAAAGTTTGGATTATTTTGAAGTTGTAAAATTTTAAGATATTTTTATCGTGCAACTTTAATTTGTGCTAATTAAATATTGTATTTGTGGAGAGCTGTTAATGAAGATCTTCTAGTATCAAAGGTTTTGATATTTTGCTCTGGAAATAAATGTGCATGTGTGTGTTGTGAGTGTGTGAGTGTGTGCAAACACACACAAATTTAAAAAAAAAACATTTAAAAAGGTCTATATATGCAAGATATTAACAAATTAGACATAAATATCAGATGCAGAAAAAAAAGTAAACCAGAAACCGATTTAATTTTCGCAACCACCATGCTTTGTACAATTATAAATTTTTTAAAAATATTCTGTGGATATCTTACAAAATAAAAGGGGGTTAAATAAGTGGGTCCTGAATTTTTAGTGTCATGATAAGTAACTATCAGAGAATTTTTTAATATTGATACTGGAGACATTTAATATTTTAAAGAAAATTAAGGCAATCTGAGCCTAGAAATAAACTTAACCTAAAAATTTAAATCCTTACCTCCATGTGCAACAAAATAAAATTAACCTTTTATATCCTAAACTAAATAGAAATTAACTGTAGGATTTAAAAAGAAGTGTTACACTAGGGAAGAATGCTTAGGATGAAAGTAGGGTAATTCTTGTATCACTCACTCACTCTTGTTTCATTAAACAAAAAAGACTCCGGTCTTTTTTATAAAGTAATTATTTAAACTTTTGAGTTTGAGTAAACTCTGATAAATACAAAAATTAAAAACATGAACTAAATATTTTTATATAATTTTAATATTGAATAATTTGATATTTTACTTTTGTAAAGTAACTTTTCACTATATAAAAATTCAATAAATACAATTTAAAAAATAAAAAAATATATAAACTCATTCAACAAGATTTTTTGAAAGAAAAGTATGACTAGAATTGTATACAACATAACAACATAACAACATAACAACATAAGATGGTTTTTAGAATAATTTTTGTGACAGCTGGATATTTAGTAACCATATTCCCAGAACTGAATAAAATTATGATGAACAGATTAAGAGGCTTGTTTGCTTCAATAACCTATTTCTTTGTTTGGATTATCAATTGATGTCATTTTTAAAAATTCTATGTTTCACTAAAGTAAGTAAAATTGTATGCTTTAATAAAAAATGTACTTTAGGAGATTAATCCAAGCATAGGGTAGGCTTCTTAAAATTCTTTGATTTTTGTTAAATAGCCTTACTTTAAAGTCATTCCTATGACTCTACTTCTCTAAAAAATTTAAATGCTTGAAAAAACAATATTCGTCATAACCCAGTGAAAAAGAATAGATCAAATGTTTTAAAATATCTGTGTTATCAACTAGTATTAAATACTGCCCTCCCCCCTTGAATTCTACTCCATGAACTATCTAAACAAATAAAAAGTTTGTTAGTGTTTCCACTTAGAATTCTATGTTTACCTTAAAACTCAAAATGTTTGCTCCAATAACCTATACCTTTACTTGAATAATCAAATTTAAAAAATATATTTTACAGAACTGTGTAAGCCAAATCGTAAGTTAGTTTAATTTGTTTTGAAAAAGGAAAAAGTTTAAGTAAAATTCAAAAGGGAAGTGTGGTTTTTATAAGAATTAAAAAAATTTTTTATTGATTATATAAACTTGAATAATAGCCATCTTCCAAATGAACTTGTGGAAGATGTCAAAACAACTTAATAAAAATAGAAAAAAAAGTAATACGAGCATAATTTTAGGCAAACCATTTGGTTTACTAACATCAAAGAAACTGTTTTTAACAGAAACCAAAAACTTTTTTAATGTGCTATATGCCATACAGCTAGAAGTAGTTTAAGGCCTGGATCAAATATATAAAAAAAACCGGAAGACAAAAATTCAACTCATACGTTGGTACTGATGGAGGAGCTGAGTTTTTGAAAAATTATTTAAATATCTTAAATTGTTATGAGGTGTCAGTGGAAAAAGAAGAAAAATTTAGGTATGATGTAGGTATATGTAGAGAAAAATTCAAAGATGGTGGGGTCAAAAAACTTATTATTATTGCACTTGTAGAAAAATTTCAAGAGTCCTATGCAAATTTGAAAAAAAGATCTTATGAATATAAAAAAAATATTTTTGTGTATTTGATATGAAGTTTGCCAACATTTATTTGGGAATAGAAATTGTAGTATCAACTTATTCTTCTTGTTGGTGTATAGCTGGAAAAGATGAATTTCAAAATTATGAATTTTAAAGTGAACATGGAAAGCAGGCCTTATTAATTACAAAAGACGCCTTTACAGTTCAGATAATTTAATCCGTGCGCATATTTAATACAAAGTCTTTATGCGCAGAATCACATGAAAACAAGTGAATACACATACAAATTAAAATAGTGACCTTGAAAGAAACAGTTGTTTAAGATTTTTTTTTTTTTTTTTTTATAAAAAAGATATTGATTTAGCTTAATATAAGTTTATTTTAACTATTTTAAATCTAAAATCTATTCTGCTTAAATGTTTTTATTATAATATTTGTAATCAAGGAAAAAACAGCAAAAAAACTAATTTGTACCCTGAGTGTAGTATTTAATATTGAACTAAACAGTATTTAATATATATATATTGATATTAGCATTATTTACAAATGTAATAAGTTAAGAAAAAATACAAAAAATTTTATTTTTATTAAATTAACTTTTCCATCAAAAATGTTCAGCAAAAGAAATAAAAAAAGATGCTAATAAAAAAATATAGAAAAAAAAAGATGCTAATAAAGATGGTAACGAAAAACGACACATAAAGAAATAAAATCATAAAAGAAATGTAATAAGAAAACCTTTTTTTTTATCTTGCAGTTGCAAAACAATTTCTCATAACAAACAATAAAAAAGTAAATACAAAATTAAAAAAAAAAGGTCACATTAAATTTTATTTTATATTAGTGCCACTTTTAATATTTAATTTTTTGTTATAATGATTGATTTTATAAAAAAAAAAAGAAAGAACATTATGACTAACTTTAAAAGAATTTATTTTTTAACTAAATAAAAACTAAATAAAAATTTTTTTTCACATATAACTCCATATATAAAAATTTTTTTCCATATATAACGTTATAGAGATAAAATTTATTTGATAACGTTATCAAGTATAAATATATTTAATAATGAGGGTGTAATAGTAAGTCTATATTTGTTTTTTTCTTGTTGTGTTTGTGAATATCTTTACTAAATATATATACATTTGCAAATACCTCTGAGGGTATAATAAACATTATAAACATTATATACAACATTATATACGATGCAACCACAATGTTCCTTCTGACGCAACACAAAAATAGTATATATATATATATAATACAATCATTTACACTAATTAATCACCTAAGGGTGAAAGAATTTGCATTGCCACAATTTTGAGAAATAATAAAAAAAAATCAATTAAAACATTCAATTCTTTTATACAACTGCAGAAATATTATAATAAAAAATATAATATAAAATTTATTTACTTAATATTTAAGAACAAAATAATTGAAACAAAGTAGATGTTCCACAAAAAGATGCATATTTACAAAAAAACACTTCTACATTAGTTGTTCTCAATTAGTCTTAATTTGCAGTTATTTATTTTATTGTAGTAGTTTGAAAAAATTAATTCCCATAAATAAATATCAGGCCTTGTTAAGAGTTGTTGCATAATGGAAAAGCGCAACATGAATATTTGTAACTATAATAAATAAAGATATTTACATCGTTAAAAATTTAATTGCGCCAGTTGCGTATTTTAAAATACCTCATTGTAATTAATTTCAAAAACATCAGAAATTATTGCAAGTCTTTAAAATGTTTAAAAAATTTGAATTTAAAATTATATTCTTAAATTAATTAATATTGTGATAAAAAAAAGCTATAAATTAAATTTAAATGTTTATTTAAAAAAATTTCCTTATTTTAAAATTTTATACTTATTTAAACTTAATTTTTTTTCTTTTAAAACTTAATTTTATTACTTTTTTAAAATAAAGGGACACTTGTTTATGGTTGATTTTCTTAAAAGAATTTAAGAGTACACAATTAGAATGGGATTTCTCCTTTTTAAAAAAACCTTAGCGCTAACTTGCTTTTGATCAAAATTGAAAAAGAAAAATTGTATTTAAATGAAGATTACCGCTTTTCAGCTTTGTTTTTTTTTTTATTTCCATTAAAATATTTTATTTTTATGTACCTGAAACCTAAATATAAAAAACTGCTTAATGTAACCAAACTTTATACTGATGATACAAAAGTGCTTTCTCAACTATAATCAGAGCTATTCGCTACTAATCTTCAAAATTATCTAGATATTGTCTACAATTGGTCTCAAACATAGCTACTTCTGTTTAACATACAAAGTGTGTAGTTATGCATTATGGCCACAACAACAAAAACTATCTATATAATTTAAATAGTATTCATTTAACGAAGTCAGACACAGAAAGAGATCTGGGAGTACTTTTCAATACAAACCTAAA